TTTGCCAAAATATTGTATTTAAATAATTTTATACATGTATTCTATTTTAAGTGACACCAAATATCATCAAAATTATCCATTTATGCGTTTTTTAAAAATCACTGTTCCGAACGTAGTCGGATACTTTAAGAGCAAAATATTTTGAAAATACCTAAGTTGTCTTCATTTTTTCTAAAAAACAAATAGTTAAAATAATTTTTTTTATTAAAATAACGTTCTTAAAACAATTTTATATCTATATTTTATTTCAATCGACACTAACTATGTAAAAAAATAATTCATTTATACGATTTTGCCAAATCATCATTCCAAACGTAGTCAGTAACCTTATTAAACAATTTTTTCAGTTACAAGGTTGATATTTTTAAAATTTCATAATATAATAATAAACAATTAAGAGAGAATAAGTTTTGAAGTTTTATAAAATATGATCTTTTACTGTTTCGCTTAAGGTATCCGACTACGTTCGAAACCGTGATTTTAAAAAAGCGCATAAATGGATAATTTTCATGATATTTTGTGTCACTTAAATTAGAATACATGTATAAAATTGTTTTAAGGACATTGTGACAAAAATTTTTTTTTAAAATACAATATTTTGGCAAAAAATTAACTTAGAAAAACCTTTTTTTAAAAAATATTCTCTTTTTATAAAAAAAATGCTTCTAAAATAATAATATTTTGTGCTTATATATAGTAAAAATTTCTCCAGAGAGTCTGCACTATTTTTTTTGAAAAATTCGCATTATTTTCACAGTTAAAACCAATTGAAATAATTATCGGCGTTTTGTTCTTAAAATTTTCCCCCTCTGTTGTCGTAAAACATGGATAAACCCACTTCTAAGCTATATATTTCAAAAATTCTAGTTGAGCCTCTGTAGAGTGGTCTGAGCTATACACAGACAAAATATTATTATAATAGAAATATTTTTCACAAAAGGAAAATATTTTGAAAATTGGTCATTCTGTGTGTGTGTGTTCATTTTTTGTCTAAATATTGTACTAAAATAATTTTTTATTGTAATAGTATTCTTATAACAGTTTTATATACATTTTCTAATCTAAGTGACACTAAATAACATAAATATTATCCATTTATACGCTTTCGCAAAATCACGGTTCCGAACGTAGTCGGATACCTTATTACAATAAAAAATTATTTAAGTACAATATTTTGACAAAAAATGAACATAGAATGACCCATTTTCAAAATATTTTCCTTTTTTGAAAAATACTTCTATTATAATTATATTTTGCCTGTGTATAGCTCAGACCTCTGTACAGAATCTCAGCTAGAATTTTTGAAATATATAACTTATAAGTGGGTTTATCCATGTTTCACGACAACAGAGGGGAGTAATTTTAAGGAAAAAACGTCGATAATTATTTCAAATGGTGGTGACTCTGAAAATAATGTGAATTTTTTAAAAAAATCATAGTTGCGCCGCCTCTATACAGAGGTCTGAGCTATATGCAGGCAAACTATAATTATAATAGAAGCATTTTTCGCAAAAGGAGATCATTTTGAAAAAAGATTATTCTAAGTTAATTTTTTGCCGAAATATTGTATTTAAATAATTTTTTTTGTCAAAATGTCCTTAATCAATTTTATTCATGTATTCTAATCTAAGTGACACTAAATAGCATGAAAATCATCCATTTATGAGTCTTTTTAAAATCACGGTTCCGAACGTAGTCGGATACCTTAAGCGCAATCTCTCTTTACAAACCAGTTGCGCTACGAAACTTACTGCGTCGATTACTGGATGCTTTACGATAAGGGATCAATGATAAATTTGCCTTCAAATCTCATTGAATCAGTAATTAAACTCGTAAGTGACCCTTCTCGTGTTAAGCTTTCGCCAGGTGCAACTTAATTAAATCGCGTCTCTTGCACTCGTGATGTATGTCTGAGATACTGTTGATGTATAGTGGGTGTACAGCGAGAACTCGGTACCTGGAAACTGGAGCAAAATCGCTTTTAATTAACTAATTATTTACGGCTAGGAATCAGACTCTGCTTTTATTTACGCTAATTGGGTTGGTGGGTGGAATTAAACTGAGTGGATCTCAGGATTCTGGATTAATAAGATTAACCTCTACTGAGTCTTACGGACGGTGATGGAAATTAAGCAGCGTTGAGCATTTAACAGTTTAGGTTACGTAAATGATTCAGTTAGGTAGATAAATATAATGGTATTTTGAAGGTGCCATGAATTATATAAGCATTTGAAATAGATGCACTACTTAAAATGTTTGTTGTGCTTTATTAAAGGATCTGAAGATCATAGGTTATTAGGATTGTATAATCTTGACTAGACGTTCGGAAGAGATTAGTTGTTTAAATATTAAGAGGTGTTGTGGAAAGCTAAAAACTTATTTTATTGACAATTGGAGATTTTTACATTTTCAAATTGTATGAATTTTAACCTTTCTAAAAATACCTTACTTTAACCTCTAGCAAATGATTTAAAATCCATATTAACTTACTTTCTTATTTCTTATAAAATACAAGCACAATTTTTTCTTAATACACATGTAGATATTTGTGTAATTAAAACAAATCATGAAACAATCAAATACACATATGGTAGACATAAAAGTTACTTGCATGTTCTCTTTATACACAGTGCGAAAGAAATCTCTTCAACATATTACAGTGATAAAATCTAACCAAATGCATTGGCAATCAAAATATCATTGTCAAATAGAATATCCTAAATATTTTTGTAACTCGGCAAAATTTTTGTTTCAAATAACCTTATTAAAGATTATACATAATAACTAAAAATTAAGTATCATAGTTTAATTTAATTTTTCAATTCCTACTATATATATATTTGTTCATACTCTCCCTATATACATATATATATATATATATATATATATATATATATATATATATATATATCTTGTTCAAATTTTCAATCGTTAATAAAATACTTCTTATTCATCTACTAAAGTTCAAATACAGTTTTTACACTTGATGTTAATACTGTTTTTTCAAATATTAATTAATTAATAGTAACAAACAAAGATAATAGTCCAACATAATGTATAAAAAAGATTAATCCCTTTTTGTGTCCCTGTAGCTAATTAGATAGCGCGTTGGACTTCGAATCCAAAGGTCGTGGGCTTGAATTCCACCTGGGATGGCCATTTTCTGAGAATGTGATTTCTTTTTTAGTGTACTACTTTATTAGAATAATTAAATGTACTTTATGAATAAATAGAAACAAACAAAAATAATAGTCCAACACTATATTTAGAAAGAAAAATGTAAGAAATTTCAAGGAAAATCGCTTTCTATTTTGCCACTTAATATTGTGATTCTGTCATATGTATTAACATATTTATATTAATTATAATTATTTAATAATAAGTAAGTAAAATAAAAATTTTCTTCGTTGACCTAAGTAGAAATTGACTTTAATTTGTTATATTACTCTTATTGGATATATATACAATTGTTTGTACGCTGATTATTTCTTTAAAATAAAAATATACAGATGGCAGATTTCTATGTGTGCTTAATTTGCCTTAAACTACTAAATGAGATAAATTTCTAAGTTACAATATTTACTTTGAAACTTGGATACATACGTGTTAAAAGCAATAGAAGCTCGTAATCCTGGATGATGTTTGGCAACAAACACGTTGTTTACTTTATTGTTAATAGTTAAACATTTGAGCGGCTCTCCTTCACACAAATGTGTCTCTAAACTTCTGAAATAGTTAGTTATTCAGAAACTGAAACGTTGAGGGTTAAACAGATTCTAGATGTGAAACAAGGTTGTTTATACGAGTAAGTTCAGTTTCTAAGATAGAAAACTTCTAAGTGTCTAAGTGAGAAGTGTTATTGAAAGATGGACTGAGTTAGTTCATCTTGTGTACACTATTTTAATAGTTTAGTATGTATAATATATCACTAATAATCTTATTTTTACAGAACCTCATTAAAAATTCTGTGATAAAAATATTTTATCATATTTAATTATAACTTTATTTTATATTAATTTTTGTTTAATTTTCTAAAGTTTGAATATGTATTCACTGCCGAATTGATTTAAATTACAATTATAAGAATATTTAAGTCTACATTTTACGTAATTATTTTGTAGTTTTTTTAATTCATTGTGAACAGTTTTCAAAATATCTTGGAGGTTTTTACTTATTTAAAAATATTTTTAACATAATTTGCAAATAAATTTTCCAAATGATATTTTTTATTTTGGGGCATTTCTTTTCATTGCATTTGTCTAGTACCCAGATATTAACCACCTGTTTTGCTGAGTATTTCATGATGCATTTAGATTATATTTATTTTAGGTGTTTGTCTAAATTCTAGAATTAAACTTTCATTTGCATAGAAAAGTATTCTTATAATCCATGCATTTTAATTTGAAAAAATTTGGACATGGATTTCTAAAACATAACTATATTTTTTATGTACGACCTTGTAGTCCCCCAACTCTTCTTCCAAATTAATTTTCTCTACTCAAAAGAAGAAAGATTTTTGCTAAATTTTAAGTCTGTGAGTGTAATAGTTCAAAAGGGGTAATTTTTGTCTACAACATTCCCGCATTCTCTAGAAAGTCACTTTTCTTAGAGGATCTCTACTCAACAAAAAGAACATGCCTGTCAAAATTTAAAGATTGTAGGTCTAATAATTCCGGAGATCTCGGGATGAGTAGATATATTTTTCGATTTAAACCAAGTTTTTATTTTCTGAATGTGAATATGGCTACATCAAATAAACTTATTCATTGCTGTCTAAGAAAAGTATCCGGAAAAAATCTTTTCCATTTTTTAAAAATTCGACTCTTTTTACTTAAAAAAAAATGTTAATTTAAATTAATTAATGACGAATCGTTTTACATATTGACGATATACTTCATTATTTAATATACTTAAATTTATATTTATTTTACAAATAAATCATTCAGTATTTTTAATCAGTGCGAGATATGAAGATGCCTTTTTTTGTGTCTGTAATTTCTGTAATTTGAAAGGTTTGTATTTTTATTTCGTCGTTATTTTATTGCATTTTATAACACAAATGAAAGCGGTGAGTTGAATAGGGGTGAAAAAAAATGCTTCAATAAATGAATTCAGTGGTAAAGTTTGGTAACAGTAGAGAGGACGGTCTTCCTCTTTTATAGATTCTGTTCTTTCTCTCGAATAGTAGGCTCCATCTTGTCCTTCATTTCAATATTTTAAAACTAATCTGTTAATCTCTGCATTCCGAGATGCCAGGCCGAACTTTAGCGCATCATGTGGCGATACAATATAAATTAACGGATATTTTAATCCATTTTGTACATAATCAAGCATCTATATTCTACAAAACGATTTAAAGGATTGTTGGTGAATGTATTTCAGCTACAAAAGTCTTACTCTGAATAATTTTGCCCTTCAATAAGAAGTCTCGATTTTAAAAAAAATTTATTCCTTTAATAATAAAAAGAAAATTGTCAAATTTAGAAGAATCAAATCTGGGCATAATGGATAAATGTACCAAACAAGTTTTTAATTTGTTACCAAATAGGTTTTCAATATGTTGAAGAATGGTTTGAAGCAAATATCACAGGAAATAACAGTTTTCAATGGTGTGTTTTGACTTCATCGCAGGTAGATTGGGTAGATATAGAAAATTGTGTTGAACTTTTATCGAAGGGAATGACTGTTATTAAAAGCGATGACATTATTCTGCTTGAAGAAATTTGAAGACTGAAAGTATATTGAAATTCTGATAAATTAGAACAATGGGAAAATCCAGCATACTGAAATTGATAAAAGATTGGTGGAAATATTTAACCATTTCTGAAATGAACTCATTCCATATGAAAATTTAGTTGTTTTTGTTGAATTAACGTTGCGCTTCCCTGGATCTAATATAGCAGTTGAAAGAGTTCTTTTAATTGGTAATGATTTTTGGACAAATGAGAAACCGAGATTGAATGTTGTTACATTATCTGTAGCACTAAACGTAAAGTTCAGTATAAAGGATATTTCTTGCTCCGAAATTTATGTTTTATTAGAAAATGACATATTAAAAAAAAATTCTTTCAATGGAAAAATACTCGTTTAAGTAATTAATTAAAGGAGATACAAACGTAATTAATCTATTTTTGTTTGAATTAATAAAATTTTTCGAAAATTTACTTTGTAATTTGTTCTAAAAATTTTCGTCCTCCTTTTCTTTGTAAAAAAAATTGGTCACCTTAGTAATAGGAAGATAAGCATTTAAAAAAAAGAATAAAATAAATCAGGTATTTATATATTCAGCAGAAGTAAATGATATGTTCCGATAACTTCTCGTTTTGATAAATATACTTAATGCATGATGAATCTCAGAGAATTCTAAGCAAAATAAAATAAAGACTAAGAGAGAAAGAGAGAGAACCACATTGAAAACGATTGACAGAGTAAATTTTCCATTTCACAGTCCGTGCACAGAGAACGAATGGTTTTTACTTTCAGAAATGTGCTTAAATCCGACAAATCAGTAAAAAAGGGAAAAAATTGGTCGTCCCTTGAGATTCATTTGATGACAAAAAACTGACATAAACAAAATGTATGGTAGCTGTGCTCAAAGAATTGTTTCATCTCTTCTCTTGATTGTTAACTTTATTCAAGTAAGGATTACATAAAAAGAATTAATTTAGAAGACAAGAAACAAAAAAGCACACAAAAAAAACAATTGAAAATTCATAAGTTTCTTGCAATGTCAAATATATTTAAATTTATTTCAGAACTGCGAGACTTTAGCCAAAATGAAAAAACTGGATAGTTAAAACAAAGTAAAAAGTAATACTTCCCCCAATTTTGTTTTCCTAGTTATTTCCCCAGTAAATTTTATGCTTGTAAAACAATTATTTTACAAAGCTTATAACGTTCTTTTGATTCTATTTGTTTTTTAAGGTATCCGACTACGTTCGGAACCGTGATTTTGCAAGAGCGTATAAATGGATAGTTTTCATGATATTTAGTGTCACTTACATTAGAATACATGTATAAAATTGTTTTATATAAGGACACTTTCACAAAAAAAATTATTTAAATGCAATATTTAGGCAAAAAATTAACTAAGAATAATCTTTTTTAAGAATAATCTTTTCTCCTTTTGTGAAAAATGTTTCTATTATAATAATATTTTGCCTGTATATAGCTCAGACCTCTGTACAGAGGCTCAACTAGAATTTTTGAAATATGTAACTTAGAAATGGGTTTATTCATATTTTACGGCAACTGAGGGGAGCAATTTTAAGAAAACAACGCCGATAATTATTTCAAATGCTTGTAACTCTGAAAATAATGTGAAGTTTTCAAAAATTCTAGTTGAGCCTTTGTAGAGAGGTCTGAGCTATATACAGGCAAAATA